AACACTGGCACTTTCAGGTTGAATATATGGTGCTAGCTCAGTTTAGAGGTAAACAAAAGGAAACGATTATCTCAGTTATCTGAGACTGCAGTGTTCAGAATCTCACAGCCAAGTTTACTATATTTTCATGACATATTAGAGCCAATATCAGTCATTTATAGATTCCATTTTTCAATGTAAGTTTTAGTCTCGGGATAGTTTCATTAAAAAGAAATGTACTCATTAACTCACTTATGTACCTGTAACTCCTTTGAACAGCATCTTTACAGTAAAATAAAATTAAAAAAATTATAATCTGTCCAGGCACCTGTGGTTCATGCCTGTAATCCTGGCTACTCAACAGATGGAGATTCGAGGATTACAACTCAAAGCCAGCTCAGTCTGTGAAATTAGCCATCAAAAAGTTGGAAATAGAAGGGTGGCTCAAGTGGTAGAATGCCAATCTTGTAAGTAAAAAGAACTAAGGAACAGCATCCAGGCCCTGAGTGTAAGCCCTAGCCCTGGTGTGTGTGCTCTCTCTCTCTCTGTTTCTCTCTCTCTGTTTCTCTCTCTCTTCCCCTCTCCCTCAGCATGACTTCTTGTCTCTTCTGCACAACTTCCATACTTTCTTTCTTGGATTATCTTCAAATTTTTGTGTGTGTTATTAGAGAGTATTTAAGGAGGCCATGCCCATCTTCACATTCCTATACAAGAACCCCTGAATTAATAAATAAAAATAGCTGGTCGCTGATGGCTCACTCCTGTAATCCTAGCCACTCAGAAGGCTGAGATCTGAGAATCAAGGTTCAAAGCCAGCATTGGCAGGAAAGTCCATGAGACTCTTATCTCCATTCATCCACCAGAAAACTGGAAATGGAATTGTGGCTCAAGTGGTACAGTGCTCACTTTGAGCTGAAGAGCTGAAGAACAGTGCCTAGGCCCAGAGTTCAAGCCACATGACCAATAAAAATAAATAAATAAATAAACAAATAAATGAATGTAGTAGAATTTTTGATGAGTAGTCCTGCTAGGCTGCTGGTGACTCACACCTATAATCCTAGCTACAGTGGCTGAGATCTGAGGATCTCAGTTCTAAGCCAGCCCAAGCAACGGATCATAGAAAAAGTGAGACGTGGTGCAGTGGCTACAGTGATAAGAATGTTAGCCTTGAGCAAAAGGAGCTTAGGGACATTGCCCAGGTCCACAGTTCAAGGCAAAGGACCAGCAAAAAAAAAAATGAGTAGTCCTCCCTTGCAAAAGAAAACTGTTCAAGGAAAGAAACAAGCTAGATAGGGATACAAACCACACTTCTCTCAGGAAGCCAGAACTAGCTGCAAGGGCTCCCATCCAAAGTATGAAGATAAATTGTATTCACATTGACATCTGACACACTCTTTAAATGTTTTTGAAATGGATTCAAATACCAAAGAACTTTGAAGAAGAAATGCCACTTGTGTTTCCCTATTGAGCTGTGACTGGGGTTGCTGCTCTCACCTTATGGTTCTATTGGAGTCTTCCTGGTCTGGGTCTGCATCCTGCATTTCTCCACTGTCACTCTGGCCTTCTGCCATGGCCATCTCGGCATCTTGGACCATCGCCTCTTCCATGTCATCCAGAAGCCCACTGTTCCGTTCACTGTCATTGTCATCACTCCCTTCTTCCATGACCACGTCAGATTCTGCTCCAGGGCTGAGCAAATCTAGAACATTATTTTGACTTATGAAGATAAGCCTGAAATCCTGGAGCCAGAGCTTAGGAGAAAGGCAATCTTACAACAAATTAATTGGAAGCAGTCATGTGAAGAAATTACCTTTCCTTTTTCATTTTACTTCGTAAGTATATGAATGTATGAGAAGGTGTGTGTAACTTTATGGACAGATACTTATTTTCCATGTTCCTAAGTTAAATAAAAACATTAAACAATCCAAATAGCTCTGAAGAGAAGCCAAAGGTGAATCCAAAAGCACAGTACAGAGAGGCAAAGTAATGCTAGGTAGGTATAAGAAGGCAGGAAATGATTGCATTTCATTGCGCAACTCCAGAATAAAGGAATGTAGGGGAGGTGGAGGGGGAGAGGGAGGGAGAGAAGTGTTCACAAGAAGAAAAATTTGAGGTCAATGATTCTTACAATTGCAGTAACTTCTTAAATCATAGATTTCATTGTATTAAACTTGTCATATAAGCTGCAGCTCTTAAATACCTGATATTTTGTATTGCACACTGTGATTATGCAGTAGATGGTAATGCAAAAACTTTAATTACTAAACTCATGCAAATTACTCATTTTAAAACCAGAAAAACAGATCAATCAGAGACCCCAACCTGCCAAGCTTGGAAAAATTCCCATTTTACCAGATTTCACTGACTAGGAACGTGCAATTTAAAATAATCAACATGTAAAACTTTTCTCTAAAGTTATCAAGTATACACTGACATTCCTGGGGCAGAACAAACTCAGTATTGCATGTTCCATAAAGTGAGGAGATGGCTAGATTTTTTCAATTGTGACAACTAATTCATGAATCTCCATGTAAGAAATCAGTAGGTATAATAATGTTTTCCTGAAAAGCTCTCTTGCTTCTTGTTCTTCTTCTAGGTATATATTTGGTTCTGTAACAAACATAATCTTTTATTTTCTTCAGTTTCTTAGTAACAAAGATATTCATCTAGTTCTTTTGATGTTCTCTAGACAATTCTTTTTGAGCAGAGTAATTGGCAAACTGTTACATTAAATCTATGCAATTCTAAGTTGACTATTGAAGTAACTATCAATCAGGGTACTACCTGGCCAAACAAAACAAAAAAGGAGCTGTTGTTTCAAGATACAGCACATTTTACAAGTCTCTCAAAACTAATTTACATCGTCTTTCAAAAAGTATTTCTAAATATAGGACACACACATACACATATACACACGCTATATAAATCAGTTGACTTGAAAATAATTTTTCAAAGCAAGATACAGATTCTCAATCACAGATTCAGAGAACATGGTGTGTCGGGGGAGGCGAGGTGACAAGAATGACTCTCCTTTAGTAGATAGGAAAGAGTTAGAGTTAACTAGTTGGAGTTAGTTTCTGACTCTGGGCTTGGAACAGGACAGAGGACTACAGGATGAGAACTACAATTTGTAGACTTTCCAGAAAGTTCCAAATTTATGAGTAAGCTGGGATAAAAGTATAAAGAAAGAAAGTCAGGAGAGAAAATGTAGACACCTACATTTTCATTATTATTTATTCACCATGTAAGGGTCAAGAAAAACTCTGTATGTTATTAAAATTCAGTGAGGTGGGATGTAGGTTTTTTGACATTAACTTAGGACCAAATTGGGCCAATATTGATTTGGGGCTGCATTAAAGCATCTTAACAGTAAAAATAAGATACTTTATTAGATCCCAATCAAGTGTGTAACATGTAAGCAACACACACAAAACTGTCCATCTGTTAACTTACCTCCATTGATGGTCACTTCACCCAAGCAGTTGTTTGGTACTTTTGGAGCACAGCGTTTATGGCAGTTGAATCTACAGTCTACTCATGACATTTTTAAAGTAAAACAGAAACAAGAAATTCATTAGAAGGAGAAACTGAAACAAGTTTATCAACTTCTGGTAGGATTTGATTGACCTAGCGACTAGAGACTAGCTGGTGGGAAATACACAGTGTCAAGCCTCCCTTACCTTTACACTGCAAGCCCTGTCTGAAAAGGCCCTTCAGCAGCTTTTTGCAGTACTGGCACACTGTTGGCCGGGTGTAAGAGTGGATGACAAACGTGTGTGGCACCTTCACCTTGGACATCAGCATTTTGTCGAGCTGAATTGGTCTTCCAATGTATGACTGAGAATTTGACCTTTTCTCTCGACCAATGAATGACTCTGATGGTGACTTCTGCTACACATTTGAAAAATTTGACAAAAGAAAGGACAGGAATGAAAGACCAAGATTTGATTTAAATATTTTAAAACCTCATTTGACTATTCTATCTTTAAATTTTGTTATACTGGGGTTTGAACTTTTGGCCGTATACTTCGTAGGCAGGCACTTTACCCCTTGAGCTACACTGAGAATCTTCTTCCTTTAGCTATTTTTCAAATAGGGTCTTGCATTTTTGCTCTGACTGGCTTACACCACAATATCCTAATTATACTTTCTGTGCAGCTGGGCTGGCAGGAGTACACCACCATGCCCAGCATTTCATTCCTTGAGATGGGGCCTTGAGAATTTTTGCATTCTGGTTTTGAATTGCAATCATTTCAATTATTGATTGAGCTAGCAAATCAATTTTTTAAATCTATAATATGGAAAATATCTGAGATTTGTTTAATGTTGATATAATTTATTTTATCCTTTAACATCTGAGTTATTTTTGACTGGCTAAAATTAAGGGCTGGAGATTAGAATATTTTAACTTGATTTCTAGGACTTTTAAGTAATTATTAACTTTAAAATATGAATTCAATTACTTTTAACACAAAAAATGTAACATTGGGAACCAAAAAGACTTATAACATTACTACACATATTAACTCATTGCTGTTTTGTAGAGTTCTATCTGTACATAGCTAGAAATTATAACCAATTCAGAAAGGTAGAAATGTAAAATAAATCGCCATTTGTCTTACATAGTATTTGTTCTTCAACTATAATGAAAGTAAATGGACAAATTATCTTACTATTTTTATAACCTAAACACATACAAATAATAGACTATGCAAAGCACACAAATACTAGCACTTTATAATTACATCTCCGTGCACTCTTGTCTGTCATTGTGGAAATATTTAATAAACTTGGTGTATAGACATTTAAGAGTAAAATTAATCAAAATGAACTGTTACTTCAATGTTTCTGGATAATTTCATGGTATCTGTGGATATCATGGAAATACACAGCAAATATCTGCATATATGCTTTTTGGAGTTACCAGAATAAAGGTATTGTTAACTGAATTATACATTCATAGTTACTATAGTATATCTACCAATCTACCTATCTAACTCTATGGCCATCTAATTTACTACTCTTTCTCTTTAAATACTAATATGAATTTACTCGATTATAAAATTATTTATTTTGAATACCATTTATTATTCTTCAGTAAATCCATTTTAAATGCCATAAAAGACCGGCCTTGTTTTCTGCAGGTGTTACACCAAAGTTCATAAAATAGATGCTTTGACTGTATATTCATAAATATTGGAGCCAAAATGTCAACCTGTGTTTGTTGCCTCAAAAGCTGTGTATATCACTTTACCCAGTTAATTTGTAACTGGGATCAATTATTGACACAATAAAAAAATAAATGCTAGTTACATATAATTTGCATCCATTTCCATTCCTGTCTGAGTAAACCAGAAAACTACTTACTACCAAATGGGAAGTTGATGTACCAATTCACTGTCTGCAATAAAAACAGTAAAACAATAAAAATCATATATTATAGACCAACACCCAATATTATACTAAATGGGGTAAAACTACAACCAATTCCCCTAAAATCAGGAACAAGGCAAGGATGCCCACTCTCTTCACTCTTCTTCAATATAGTTCTAGAATCCTTAGCCACAGCAATAAGGCAAAAGAACTTTAAAGGGATTTGCATAGTGAAGGAAGAAATTACACTATCCCTATTTGCAGAATACATGATCTTATATCTAAACTACCCCAAAAACTCCACTTCTAAACTCACAGAAATAATAAACCACTTCAGCAAAGCAGCACGATACAAAATAAACCCACAAAAATCAATTGTCTTTCTGTACATTAACAATGCACAGTAGAAACAGAAATCAGGAAAACAACCCATTTACAATAACCTCAAAAAAATTAACCTAACCGAAGATGTAAAGGACCTATTTAGTGAAAGCTATAAAATCTTAAAGAAAGAAATCAGGAAATGGAAAGACATTCTATGTTCTTGGATAGGCATAATCAATAATGTGAAAATGGCCATACTGCCAAAAAATACACAAATTCAATGCAATTGCCATTAAAATCCTAATGAAATTCTTTACTGAAATAGAGAAAACAATCCAAAAATGCATATGGAACAGTAGAAGACCTTGAGTAGCTATAGCAATTCGAGGCAAAAGAAACAATGCAGGAGGTATCACAACACCAGATTTCAAGTTCTACTTAGAAAACATGATAACAAAAATAGCTTAGTATTGGAACAAAAATAGACCCAAAGACCAATGGAATAGATTATAAGACCCAAAAACTTACTTATAGTCAGTTCATATTTGACAAAGGAGCCAAAGACATACATTGGGGAAAAAAAAAAAAAACCCATAGCCTTTTCAACTATTGGTGCTAGGAAAAGTGGGCAGCCACATGCAGAAAACTAAAAGTGGATCCCAGCCTGTCATTATACACCATCATCAACTCAAAATGGATTAAAGACCTCAACATCAAACCTAAATCTCTGAAACTACTGCAGGACAGAGTAGGGGAGACACTAGAACTTATAGGCACAGGCAGGAACTTCCTCAACAGAGTCCCAGGATCACAACAAATTGGAGAGACTTGACAAATGGGACTACCTTAAAATAAAAATTTTCTGCACAGCTAAAGACATAACTAACAAGCGAGAAAGATAGCCAACCAAATGGGAAAAGATATTTAACAGCGGTCTATTAGACAAAGGCCTAGTATCCATTATATACAGGAAACTCAAGAAACTAATCCCTGCCAAATCTAATGAACCAATCATTAGATGGGCAAGGGAGCAAAAGGGAGACTTCTCAGAAGAGATAAAATGGCAAAGAAACACATGAGGAAATGTTCATCATCCTTGGCTATAAGAAAATGCAAATAAAAACAACCCTGAGATACCACCTTACCCAAGTCAGAATGGCCCACATCCTAAATTCAGCCAACAACAAATGTTGGTGGGGATGCAGAGAAAGAGGAACCCTACTGCATTGCTGATGGGAATGTACATTAATACAACCAATTTAGAAAGCAGTCTAGAGGTACCTCAGAAAGCTAAATATAGACCTTCCCTATTAGACAGCCATACATCTCCTAAGCATCTACCCTGAGCAACAAGAACCAGGATACAAGGACACCTGCACCTCCATGTTCATTGCTGCAATGTTCACAATAGCCAAGATATGAAAACAACCCAGAAGTCTCACTACAGATTAATGGATCCAAAAATTGTGGTACATATATAAATGAAATATTATGCAGCCAATACAAAGGACAAAATAATGGCATTCACAGGGAAATGGACAGAACTAGAATAAATCATGTTGAGCAAAATAAGCCAAGATCAAAGAGACAAACGGCACATGGTCTTCCTGATATGTGGATGTTACAATCAAAATGTAATGAGATATGACAAAGTAAATGTGACTCAAAAACAAAGGATCTCTTAATTTGTCACATCGTTTTTATATGACTCTTGTTCTTGACCCCACATATGGTATATACATGTGCACATAAGAGAAAAGCTAGGAGGAGGGCATAGAATCAAAGGAAAATGGGTGAAAAAAATCCTGCTGTGAAAAAAAAACAAAAATAAACACGTTTCAGATGAAGCTCTCCATATTATGTCTAAGTTATGTTTACAATTCAAGTTCCATAGAGGAAAACTATAAAGCATCATTACTCTCCAAAGTTAAGTTCTTGTAAGGGAGGCCAGGGAACTTATAAAATTGGACAATGATTTCCCAAATAAAAGTACATCAATGGACTTGAAAAACAATTAAATCCATATGATTTTGTCTTGGTTCTAGTTTTCTTTAGTAAGTGGACCAATTTTAAGAAAGGTGGCTGAAAGGAAAGTGGTATTTTTCCATAAATGGAATATTTCTAGAACTGACATCAGACTTAGCAAATTCACAATGTTCTCAGATTTGGAAAATTCTATAGAAGTGTGAACAAATCATTCTTCATTTATTTTCTTCTATTTCACATCCTAACAGCCAGTTTGACATAGGAAAATTTACTACCTTAGGGACAGAAGAAGGAAACTGACAAACAGAATTTTGTTCCTCTCATCCAGCATGGGACTATTCCCATAAGCTCTGAGAGTCCCAGTTATTTTTGAAAAGTCATAGTATTTATTACCTTAATAGCAGAATGACATAAGAAATTTTAATAAAATAAAACTCTAAAGAAAAGAAACTGGCTATAATTCTATGGCAAAAGAATGCACTGGACGTAACTCAGGAAGTGATGATATTAACATAGCCACAAAAGAGAAACAATTCACAGATGACATAATTATACTGTCAGAAATTGGCTTTAACAGCATCAATAAAGTGTGCCCTCTTGACATTTATGGCATTTTTAAAATTTAAAGACATCTAGTGGTTCAACCAATTAAATACTTATCATTTTCTTACAGTTCAAACTATAATTATTTTCAATATGGCCTATATTTTAAACAATAAAGCAAACCTTTAAGTTTGGGGATAGATTATATTCACAAAGTACTCAGAGGGGGCTTGAGTTGAGTCTAACGAGAGTAGAAAAGCCATCAGATGTTATATTCTATGTCATTGGAAGAACAATTATATATTTCCTTGAGATTTCCCTTCATTTAGAGGCAAATTTCAGAAGCCAAGTTAGAGAAAGACTGTGTCACTATCTGAAGACTTTGTAAATCCTTATGGTGTACTTACTCATCTTCAATCAAAATGTAAAACAAGAACACTATCAATATATAACAAACATCACAAACACACCAATAGCCAGGTACCTAGTTTTTCACACCTGTAATCCTAGCTACTCAGGAGGCTGAGATTTGAGGATTTTGGCTCAAAGTCACCCAGGGCAGAAAGCCCATGAGACTCTTATCTCCAATTAAATATAAAAAAAAAAGCCTGAAGTAAAAGTTCTGGTTCAAGTAGTACAGCGCTACCTAGCTTGAGCACTAAAGC